TAGATTGAGTGACTTTTTAAGGAAAGAGTGGATAGTTGAGTGACTTTTGAGTTAAAATTCAAAGTTGAGTGACTTTCTGAGAAAGAAGTGCATAGTTGAATGACTTTTGAGTAAAAATTGAAAGTTGAGTGACTTTCTGAGAGAAGAGTGCATAGTTGAGTGACCATCTGAGGTATTAATTCTTCAGTTCTTTATTTACTTTATTGTAGAATATATCTGTATATTGTGATACTAACCAATTATTGATTATTGGTTCTGTATTTAATACGAGAGATTTAATCATCGATAATTAATTACTGACTGCATTATTGATTATGATATGAAAATTCCTATCGATATTTGAATATTATTTATTTTTCAGTTTACATTGATTTTAACAGTTGATTGTCAAATTTATCGCAATTTGAAATAGAAACATTACATGCAAGAAAGATAAAGAAAAAATAAAAAAAACCTTAGACGATTTTTCAAAAAAAAAATTAAAAAAAAATAATTAATTAAGAAGTTGTTACTTAAGTCCGTGTGCAAATCATACTAGATGACTAGATGTCCATTTCCTTCACTAATATTTTTGAATTATTTCATATATGCATTTGTGAACCATATGAAATTCCCATTTAAAATGAAAATAAATATTTTTTTACTACAGTTAATTATTTATAGAGTGACTTGGATTTTTTTGTTTAAACACAAAATTGAAGTCTACATTACTTTACAACATTTTTTTTTATTTGTTAAAACTGAGTTGACAAAAATATTAAGATAATATAGTTTATAATCACATCCTACAATATTATACATGTCCAAATTTAATACATAGATTGATATGGCAAAAATATCTTTTATTATTATGATTTATGAGTCTTTTGAATATTGGATGTAATGTTTCAAATAAGCTATCATAATAATTTTTGTAATTGAAATGTTGGTAATTTGATTGATTTAACAACAATATATACTAAACATTCTTTTCAACAAATATAGGGGGAAAATAATTTTAAATTATAGGGCCTACTTGAAAGAAAACTTTAAAAAATTATATTTAACAGACAAAAAATCAATTCCAATCAATGTGACAAAAGAACAAAAAAAAATGGCCACTAACATGTAATTGATACGTTATGTCGTTCCTAAGTCTCGTTATCGTTTTTTCAGTTCGAAGTCTGATATCTATTTTAAGTTTTAATTAATTCAATTCTATATAGTAAAATGCCATTTTTAAACTAAAAATGTGTTTTACAAAAGGTTATTTTTATGTTCTTTTTACTCAAAGTTAAAATTTCTTATTGAAAATAACGTAATATTTATCGCAACGTCACAATTTACAACTTAAACATAATTTTCACTATAGTTACCATCCCCGTCCAAATTTCTAAAGTTTCAATATTCTTCATCCAATTGATCGATAGCTGCCCCCGTCTTTTGACTTTTCAATTTATCTTTTTGTATAATTATGTTAAAATTTGATTAATTTAAATTTAAGGCTCATTTAAAAAAACGTTTTTACTTAAAGAAACTTTTTCATTTTTAAAATTTGAATTTAAAATTATTGATTAAAAATAAAAAGAACAATGCATTTTGACTTAATTACATTTTTCAACTTTTTATTTTTTTGCAATTGCGGCTGCGTAGCTTTATTTTATTGTGAATTTGCATGAATTCGTTTTTTTTTGTGATAATGCCCAAGTACCCCCTCAACCTATGTCCGAAATCTCAGAGACACACTTATACTATTTTAAGGTCCTATTACCCTTATTTTATTAATAATTTTTTACTCCTTTTTAGCTTACGTGGCACTATCTTGTGGGCCCAACGATGATTGATTTTTTTTTCGAACTAGTGCCACGTAGGCTAAAAAGGGGTAGAAAATTACATATGAAATAAGTTCAGGGGGTAATAGGATCTTAGTATAGTATAAGTGTGTCTCTGAGATTTCGGACATAGGTTGAGGGGGTACTTGGGTATTTTCCCTTTCTTTTTTATTCTTTTCTGATTAGTAGGAATTATTATTTGCTATTTTATTTTTAACAGTTTTAATTAGGTTAAATTAAATGTAACACAGACTATATAAATTATATAAACAACTTACAACGCTAAATAATAAAATCCATCGGTAATTAAATTTTCTTGTGTGGTAATATATATATATATATGAATAATAGAGAACATATATAATCAAACTTTAAGTAATTTGAGATGGAAACGTGGTGATGAAAATTAACTTTAGTTTTAGTTTTTATTTTTTTAGAGTTGAAGTGTTTGAGTAAATTTTTAGAAAAATAAAAGTATTTTTGAATAATAATAATAATAAAAGTTATTTTTCAAAAGGTAAAAAATGAGTATTTTTCGAGAAGCACTCTTACAACCTTATCCGAATACAAATTATTTGTCTAATACTTATAAAGAAAACCTTCAAATTAATTAACCAAACCTAAATCGTTATTAAAAAAAACACTTTTTGATAAAAGGATATTTCATAATAAATAAGTTTTACAAAGTTGGATTCTTCAACATTATCTAGTCTCATCGATCACTATTGTAGCGGTCATAAAATTTTAAAAATTTCAAAATTGAAGTAAGGAAATCACAAGAAATTTTTATATAACTAGGCTTAATTTCATCGATGGATATTGAATAAGAATAAGTTTCACAAAAGTTAATTACTTTTCATTCGAGAGTAGTAACGATAAAATAGTGTAATTTATAGATTACAAATTTAAGTTGTGAAAACAGTCGATAATACTTACGTTAATGTAGAATATACATATTTACATCATATCTTCTCTTAAAGTATGACCTTTTTCTAAAATCCTACTAATATAAAACACTTTATGTCACGACCCAAATCCGGGCCGCAACTGGCACCCACACTTACCCTCCTGTGTGAGCGAACCAACCAATCTAAACCTTAACATTTTAATGTAATATCGA